AGATGGTAAGATAAAATAATATATTTTTTTTTACTACTCACATGATCAGTTTGGTTACAGGTTTTGGGATCTAAAAAAGCAGAAAGTAATTTGAAGCAGAGATGTTGTCTTCTTTGAGGATCAAACCCTATAGGATTTGAAGGAGGCACCAGCCAAGACTTATGTAGAAGGATTAGCATATTTTGATCGAATTACTCCTCCAATATATCAGGGTGATGGGGGAGATGTGCAGGAAGATAGTGGAGAGTCCGATGTTGATCTACCTGTAGGACATGTTGAGCAAGAAGAAGCTAGAGAGCAACTTCCCACGGAACCACGGTTTAGATAACGTCAACCTTCCAAAAGATACTCTACATATGAGTATATGATGCTTACTAATGCAAGTGAATCAGAGAGTTATCAGAAAGCAGTTGAAAGTGAACAGAAAAAGAAGTAGTTAGTTGCTATGCAGAAAGAGATGGATGTGAAAGACAAGATACAAAGCTAAATTGGTTGTGAAAGACTTTGATTAAAAGAAACATATTGACTTTGAAAATATTTTTTCTCCTATTGTTAAAATGCTTCTATTCGTGTTGCTTTTGGTATTGTTGCTAGCCTAGACTTGGAGGTTGAGTTGTTGGATGTAAAGACAGCTTTCCTTCTTGGTGATTTAGAGGAGAAAATTTATATGGAGAAATTAGAATGCTTCAAAATCAAAGGTAAAGAAAATTTTGTCTACAATTTGAAAAAGAGCTTGTATAAGCCGAAGCAAGCTTCAAGATAGTGGTACAGAAAGTTTGATTCATTTATGATTGAAAATTGATATAAAAGAATGGCTTCAGATCATTGTGTGTACATCAAATTGTTTTGTGAGGATTTTATTATTCTCTTGCTTTATGTTGATGACATGTTTATCTTTAGGAAATGTATGTCTATAATTGACAGGTTAAAGATGAAACTGAGTAAATCCTTTGCAATAAAGGACATGGGGCCAGCAAAGCAAATACTAGGTATGCAAATTTCCGTGATAGAAAAAACAAGAAGATTTGGTTGTCACAAGAGAAATACATCGAGAATATATTAGAGAGGTTCAGTATGAGCAATGCAAAGCCAATTAGTTCTTCTCTTTCAGGTCACTTCAAGTTGTGCTCAGAATAGAGTCCGTCAAGTGATGGAGAAGAAGAATATGCAAAAGGTTTCTTATGCTTTAGCAGTTGGAAGTTTAATGTACACGATGATATGTACAAGGTCGGACATTGCATATGCAGTAGGTGTTACTAGCATATTTCTTGTAAATCCAAACAAGGAGCACTGGGCAATAGTGAAGTGGATCTTTAGATATATCAGAAGGAGCTATAAAGTTCGTTTAAGCTTTGGAGGTGGACGACCTGTGTTAACATGTTACACAAATACAATTATGACAAGAGATATAGATACTATAAAGTTTGTTTAAGCTTTGGAGGTGGACGATCTATGTTGACATGTTACACAAATACAATTATGGCAAGAGATATAGATACAAGGAAATCCACATCAGGTTTTATACTTATTTTTGTAGGGGGAGCTATGTCATGACAATCCAAATTACAAAGGTGTATTGGTCTCTTCACCACAAAGTCAGAATATATTGTTGCTACAAAGGTTTACAAAGAAATGTTATAGATAAAGAATTTTTACAAGAATTGGGGCTGAAATAAAAAAACTATGTGGTACATTATGATAGCCAAAGAGCCATTTATTTGTGTAAGAACCCAACTTTTCATTCTAAGTCAAAGCATATAGATGTTTGGATTCGAAATATACTTGAAGAGAAGTAGTTGCAACTTTAGAAAATTCATATAGATGATAATAGAGCAGATATGTTGACAAAGACCTTATCGAAAAAAAGGCAGGAGATGTGTCGACGGTTGATCGACATGGTTTCACGTTGAGGAGTCATGGGACAGCCTCCCTTATGGGCTGAAAGGGGAGGTTGTTGGATTAACAGCCCATGAGCTTAGCCCATAGTGGGCTTTAATAGCCCATAGTCCACTTCTCTTTTAATGTAAACCTAGATCTAATAAGGGGGGTGTGGTGACTATGAAAAGGAGGCAGAAAACTATAGCAACAAAGAGAGAAAACTATAGCAATAGGGGCAAAAAATTATAGCAGTAACGTAATTCAAAAATAGGAGAAAATTATAGAAAAACAAGAGAAGAAAAGGGAAGAAGACAAGGACAACACAGAGAGACTGTTTTCAATCATTCAGGTAGTGTTCTCGTCTCAAATTAGATCAGATCTACAGTCAATTATTGCTGTGATTACTTGAGGAGATTTTGAATATTATGCAAAATGACGTAATCCTCATATCTCAATTATTCTCTTGTGATTATTGCTTGATTTTTGGGCAAGAAACTTTGAGATTTGTATATTTATTATTTTTATAATAAATTTTCTCTAGTTTGCCCCATGATTTTTACCCTTCATGTTGGAGTGGTTTTTCACGTAAATCTTGATGTCTTACTTGATTGCGATTCTATTTAATTTTATTATGTATTACGACTTACTTATATTTATTTATTTATCCCATCACGACCGTCGTGTTTGTGTGTTTGTGTGTGACAACGAGGTAAGTTTGGTCAACAGCTCATGCTCCGGCATCGGCTGCTGCCGAGGCTCCTCCATCCCCAAGGACCTGGCATACTATGAGGTCTGGTTTGATTCAAATTTCAGCAGCTCGAGCATCTGGAACTTCGGTCGCTGCAGCTATGCCGTATTGTTGGAGGCAAATCGGTTTGAGTTCCTAACATCTTACATCACGACGGACCGATTCTTGAACGACAGCAGCAGCAAGGCGCCTTTGGTGGTGGATTGGGCGATCGGAAACGAGACATGCGAGGTAGCACAGCGCAACATAACATCCTACGCCTGCATCAGCGAGCACAGCGAGTGTTTGAACTCTTCCAATGGTCCTGGGTATCTTTGTAACTGTTCCGAGTGGTTACCATGGCAATCCTTATGTCGCTCATGGCTGCCAAGGTCTGTTAAGTTTCTTCTCTTTCAGGGATCTGCTTGCCTTTTCAGTTTTCATGTTTTTGTTTCTGATACTGCCGAATATGCTTTAATTGCAGACATCGACGAATGGTCTGATAAAGATCAAAATCCTTGCCATGGCATCTGCCAGAACCTGCCCGGTAGCTACAATTGTTTCTGCCGGCGAGGCACACACGGTGATGCTTTCAATGGACCATGCACCCAACACCAGAAACTTCAATCATCAGCGAAGGAGGCTATAGGTAAGAGTCCTTTTTCCACCATGACTTTCATCTTTGTCGAGGATCTCATAACACATTTGATCTCAGAAGAGGACATGATACCGTTTACAGAGGAGTCTTCGAGGACAGGCAAGTCGTTGCCATCAAAAAACCTAAGATCTTTGATGAGAGCCAAAAGAACGAATTTGGAAAAGCGTTGCTTATTCTATCGCAGATCAACCACTAGAACATAGCCAAGCTCTTGGGTTGTTGCTTGGAAGTGGAGGTTCCGAAGTTTGTCTCGAACGGGACCTTGTTCCGGCTGATCCACGACAACAACAATGTATCTCCCTTTTCCTTGGCCACCCGCCTGAGGATTGCTCTAGCCTACTTGCATTCATCAACTTCGTCTCCCATCATTCATGGCGACGTGAAGTCTTCCAACATACTTGATGAAAATTATGCATCAAAAGTTTCTAATTTTGGAGCTTCGAAGCTGGTTCTCAACTAGCATCATCACCCACCAATCACTAGTTCTTCTTGTACCACGGAAGAGTATTGTCATGAAAAGACCTATCAGCTGATTAGTCATTGGTCGAATAACCAAGAACACCAATTGCAACATGGGAATGAAATAGGTCCATGAAAATATACTTGAGAGGAATTGGTCGTCGTTCACAAGCCTAACATTCAAACTCATTTTTTACCGAGCAACTAGGGAGGAGTTGTGTTCCTTGCACCTCATCGGTCAATGAAGTGGAAGCTTTAAAAGGTTATCTTGTATGCAAGAAAATGGTTATCTAAATATTGTCATTTTAAACATTTTGCATTGGTTGCGGAGCTTTTATCATTCGGGAAATGTTAGATGATCGGATGATCTTCTTGTCACTATTTCTGAGACATCAATATCTAATCTAATAATTCAGAATAGAATGGTATAAATAATCTAGAATAAACTTGAACACCAATTGCGACATCTCTCTGTCCAGACAAAGAACGTCATTTCTTATTCATATCTTTTTGTTTCTTTATGTTCTTTTTTCAAATTGAAGAAATGATTGATAAAGAAGCTATGGTGGCGTTCTCTCTGCCGATAATGATAACCGCCGCTTTTCACGTGCAACGACGGCAGCAGGTAGCGGAGGATTCTTTAGCCGCCTCCACCCAGCTCTGGTTGCTCCATTTTGGGCGATGATGGCGGTTCTTCCCGGGGCCTTGGATGGGCTTATGGAGAGGCGCCTACAAGATTGTACACCGCCCTATCGCAGGCAGGAAGACGAGGAGGGTGGCAAGGTGAGCCATGTCAACTCCAATTGCGACATCTGTGTCCAGACAAAGAACGTCATTTTTTATCAATGTCTTTTTTCTTTGTGTTCTTATTGTCACAAAGAATAATTAATTGGCAAAGAATCTAACGGTGTCATCCACGGATCCACCAACCACTTGCTCTTGATGTACCATAAAATATTGAAAAGGTCCATGAAAATCCACTGGCGGAGGATGCTCATTAGCAGTCCATAGACTTTTCTTTGCTTGTACTTTTGTTGTTCTGAAGGGTCGAATCATCCTATCAATAGTCTGATGTCGTTATGCGTTCCCGACTTCGCAGCATGTGGCGCCGATCGCAGCGAAAGATGGGTGTGTGGTCACTAAGGCCGCCTGTTGATGATGCAATCAAAGTTCATCCTTTTGGATCCATGTTGTGAGTCGATTGTTTTGCAGAAAAATTATACAGTGAACCAATCAAAATTTTTTTTTTTAAATAAACGATTGACTGGGAAAAGGTCAGCTTTCTTGCACGTCATCGGTCAGTCAAGAGGAAGCTTCATTTTAGGCTTTGGTGTTTCCATAACTTATCATTTGTCCAAGCTTTTATCTGAAGAGAACCTCTCTGCTAGTGTGCAAATCGAGAGATGGGTGTGCTGTTAGGGTATCGCTTGTTCCAGCTGTTGATGCTGCCGCTAGTGGGTGCAGCGGCATCTGCAGCAGCTGCACCGCCTGGCTGCCGAAGGAGATGCGGCGAGATTGACGTCCCCTACCCTTTTGGCATTGGTCCTAACTGTTCGAGGGAAGGCTTCTCACTAGATTGCAACACAACGGATGATGGCCTCGAGAAACTTTTTTTGTCCGTCGTCGAGATCACCGATATCTCGTTGCCACTTGGCCAGGCACGCATGCTCAATGAAATATCGTGGCAGTGTTACAACGTTAGCAGCAAGTCTCTGGAATCCTCTCTCTGGTCTCTGAATTTCGTCGGCACACCATACAGATTCTCCGACGACCTCAACAAGTTCACTGTGATCGGCTGCGACACCCTCGCCTACATCGGAGATTTCGAAAGGGCCGACAGCTACCAGAGCGGTTGCGTGTCTACGTGTCACAACGAGGTGAGTTTGGTCAACAGCTCATCATGCTCCGGCATCGGCTGCTGCCAAACCTCCATCCCCAAGGACCTCACATACTATGAGGTCTGGTTTGATTCAGATTTCAACAGCTCGAGCATCTGGAACTTCAGTGACTGCAGCTATGCCGTATTGTTGGAGGCGAATCGGTTTGAGTTCCTAACATCTTACATCACAACGACCCAATTCTGGTTCAACAACAACGGCAAGGCTCCTTTGGTGGTGGATTGGGCGATCGGAAACGAGACATGCGAGGTAGCACAGCGCAACATAACCTCGTACGCCTGCATCAGCGAGCACAGCGAGTGCTTGAACTCTTCCAATGGTCCTGGGTATCTTTGTAACTGTTCGAGTGGCTACCATGGCAATCCTTATGTCGCTCATGGCTGCCAAGGTCTGTTAAGTCTCGTCTCTTTCAGGGATCTGCTTGCCTTTTCAGTTTTCATGATTTTGTTTCTGATACTCGCGAATATGTTTTACTTGCAGACATCGACGAATGTTCTGATAAAGATCGATATCCTTGCCATGGCACCTGCAAGAACCTGCCCGGTAGCTACAATTGTTTCTGCCCGCCAGGTACACATGGTGATGCCTTCAATGGAACATGCACCCAACAGCAGAAACTTCAATCATCAGCGAAGGTGGCTGTAGGTAAGAGTCTTTTTTCCACCATGACTTTTGTCTTTGTCGAGGATCTCCAAACATATTTGATGCCAAGTATTACGAATGAATTCTTTTGTTCCATTACTTCAAATCCTTTTAATCTACCTGCACTAGAGACTATAGGTGTATCTTATAGAGAGGGTACTAATGACAATAGCCTTATTCGATTTTATATTCTATTGTCTTGTACCATCTCCAAGTAGCTGATAATTTTTTGATCCACACACACAAGAAAGTGTATTTACTTGAGAATGATCAATATTATGTTAAATTCATAATTGTCGGTACTGCTTTCATCAGCGAACCGGGTTTGATTACATAACCTCGAAGAACTTTTATCGTTAACAAAGTCTCCATGTTTATCCCTATTATTGAAGGTTCTTAATCTTTATTTTTTTTTTTCAACTTCTGTCATGAGTTCACACCTTTGGCTGTGTGTTTTTTTTAGATCTAATCATAAATTATCTTTTGTAATTAATTATCTTTAGCATTTTGATTTTTATACTTTCAAAAGTTACATTACGATCTCTAAAGTAATAAGAAAGTAAAATATTTAATCTTATTTCTTCTCACGTCGTCGTTGACTCTACGAACTAAAATATCATATAGTTTACCATTGAGCACATGTTAACTCTGTCTTATTTCGGTTTATCATTGAGCACGTGTAGTATTTTTGTCAAAAATAAGGAGAAATAAAATTATATATTTCACTTTCGTAAATAGGAGAATCCTAATATAACTTTTAAAAGTATAAAAATTAAAATATTAAAGATAACTAATTACATAGAGTAATATATTATTAACCCTTTTTTTCCTTAGGAAAGTCTAATTAAAAATAATCCATTCATAGGATAATAGCAGCAGAAATGCATAGCATAAATATGACCATGCTTGTGTTATTGTTACCAGTAACTATAAAACCAACATAATGTGCATAAAAAACATAATTTTTATTTCTCTTCCTGCTTTTAATTGGTCTGAAAATTTTTGAGATACAGGTACTGGCAATGGCTTGATCTTTCTACTAATATTCTGCATGTGTATCTATATGATTTTTTAAAGAAGAAAGTTCATCAAGATTAAGGAAAGGTGTATGTGAAGAATGGTTAGCACTTGGATTGACCTCTATCCACTGATGGATCTTACAGTCAATTTGGTAGGTAATTTGGCCTTGTTATATATTTCTAGTCCAGCCACTGTTGAGTTACACATGTTGAAAAGGATTGATGCTGTGAAATCACAATAGGGTTCCTATGTTCTGTGTATCAAGCAGCTTTGTAATATTTCTGTCACATACGTCTGGCAATTTCTCTTCTGGCTTCTTTCAAATTGTTGAATATGACTTTGTCAAACGAAATTCTAATCTAAATCATTTAAACTAAACACGGGAATCAATCTGGCCATGCATGCTAATGATATGATCAGAGCCAAAGCTTCTTTGGCTCAGGAATATATATATATATATATATATATAATAAAATTTGCCAATTGTCTGGCTCCCTCAGCCAATGGCTCAACGAGCCAAGGTGTTCTTAGGATGTAAGCATCACATCGTATGAGGGGACCTTGATAGATGCGGGTGTCGATGGTGGTTGAGTTATTGATCATGACTGCACATAGTATGAGCCAAGGTGGTTTCGTTTGTTAGGCTAGCTAGGGCAAAAGTGAAGTGACGAATTGTATAATGTTCATTAGTGTCTGCACATGTTGGGTAAGATTCAAGAACATCTCAATTAGAAAGAGTAGATGGCTCAAGATTATCTTCGGGATTGAGAGGCCTGGGTTGTTGAACAAATGTCGATGCTGCACTAGCGTTTGTACCAAAATGGATGTATCCATATGTGGCTTTAGTGGCTATTGCCTCCATAAGTAAAAGTGCTATGGGTCAAGGGCAAAATATTGTTGCTCAAGCATTCATTAAGAGGGTTGACTAGCTGGCATTTTTATAACATCGAGCCCTTCTTCGTCAAAAATGTTAGGTGAAGAAGTCATTAGTATCCAGGTCAACCCGACATGATTCAGACTCATATATGTTGGATTATCCGATGTACCTCCTAGAAATGTCAAGTTTCTAAGGTACCGTTTGCACGAATATCAAGATTGAGAGAGGTTTCCCGATTCGATTCCTTCGATGCTAAGTTAGCAACATGAGGTATATGAGTATGGATGTGAGTGATCAAAAAGGTCTTAGCTCATTATGTTGATGATGAATTTTTATATTTGGTCACAGAGGGGGAGCAGTCTCTAACCACTCTTAATAGTATCTTCTTGACCTCTTGTCCATATGGGTGATAAGACGAGACAAGCCTCAACCGCTTGCCTTGATGTGTTTTGGACTCTTATCCACGTGGATAGATGCGTGAAAGGTGATGTAGATCTTTTTCTCCTATTCAGGACTCCATGTGGGGGTTATGTGTCGTATTTTTTCCTCCCTATCATTGATGATTCGTTGATCCACTCAATTTGATATTCTATTAAGTCGGATTTTGACTAGGTTTGATGAAGAACATGTTTCAAATTATAAATGTGTAATTATTTTCTTTCTTTTCGGGATCATGAAGTGGTGTCCACATGAAATTTCTTTCGAGATTTGACTTAGATCGAAGAGGAAACAAAGATATTGGAGGACTATTTGTTGTAAAGAAATGCATAATAATTTGGTAAATATTCTAAAAAAATTGTTATAGTCTTATTTTCTAAAAACGAGTTAAGTGATGTCATGTGTAAAAATTGTAATTCATTAAATAATCTTCAATATTAATAATTCGAAATGCCAGCAGTAGTTGTAAGGCTTAAAGAGCTTTTATGTAGTGGAGATCTGTGTGTTTAAGGAGCCTTTTAAGTTTTCGAACACCTTATGATCAGCGGTGTCCACTCATCATGGAAGAACCGCAGATTCAAGCGACAGCGTCGACAGGTAGAGGAGGAACCCTCACTGGGCCTCCACCGGCAATGTCCCGTTCCTCCGCACTGCCTCAGCCCCTCGCTTTCCTCCGGGCATCGTTGCTGCTTACCAATCGACGACCCTTACAATCCTCACCGAATCGACAATGAATCATAGCCCTAGTATGATGTGTAAGAAGTACCCAACCTGGTGTGCCATTTGCGTCTAGGCGATTCCCCGCTTCTTGGGGCAATGTCGGCGCAGCCCTAATCTGGCGCTTCTTCCCTAGAGCCGATGATCGTGCTCCGACATCGACGACGATGGCTCGGTGGGCAGGTCTCCCCCCGATAAGGATGTTTGCGCTCGGAAGCTTTAGGCATGGATCTCGACGACGGTGCCAGGATTGGCGAATTGTCTTCCGTAGTGTGTCCGGCAGGGCATTCAAGCTCCTCGGTCTCCTTCAGAGGTATGTGAAATCATTCTCAACCACTGAATGTTCTAACCTATTAATTCGCTATTATTCTGCATGTTTTTTATTCCTGGTTGATTCTGTCATCTTATCTTTTGATTGGTAATAGAAGTATGTAAATCATGATAGAGTCATAAGGTTTCTACAAGATTTAACTGAACAAACAATATAGCAAGTGAGGAATACGTATGTACATGAGAAATGAAGACCTTTCCTGTTTTATTCACAGTAACAGGAAGAATGACCAAAAGCAAATTAAAGGTAATATGCCATATTAAAGTGATATTTGTGAAGGATGTGTATGTTATGATAACAAATATATAATTTCCAAACTTTACAAGGATATATATATGCCTTAAAAACGAAAAGGATAACGAATCACCATACAAACACCACAAGGTGCACAAAAGACATGGATGAACATATGCAATCGACATTACTTACGAAAGAAGTTGAATGCATAAGACCAGTTTTTGAAGAATTTTGTTGCATTTGCCATGTCCATCTCGACCATCATACATCAATCACTGGTTTTTCTTTTGAAGTTTGTGCAGAAAAACCAAGAACGTCAATTACAATGTAGGAATTTAAGGTTTCCTTGAAAATATACCGAGGGAGAGGATGCTCTGTAGCTGACAAATGATATGATCTCCACTTGTAAAAACCATAGATGGCTATCGTAACTTAAAACAATTATTAAATTGAAGAGAGAATAAAAAAATATTTGACCATCCCAAGTCATTAACAGTTATTTTCAAGGACCCATCATCCATCAATCAGTAGTCCTTTGTGGAAGAAGAAGACATTGACAAAGAAGCTGGAGACAAATTGCCAGGCACAGGACAAACCATCGTTGGAAGAAAATTGCACAAACACCAAAATAGATGTGATTATTTTCCTTCTCCAGGTCCATCTCAACTAGCATCATCATCCATCAATCGCTAGTTCTTCTTGTACTACGAAAGAGTATTGTCATGAAAAGACCTATCAGCTGATTAGTCATTGGTTGAATAACCAAGAACACCAATTGCAACATGGGAATCAAATAGGTCCACGAAAATATACTTAGAGGAATTGGTCATCGTTCACAAGCCTAACATTCAAACTCATTTTTTACCGAGCAACTAGGGAGGAGTTATGTTCCTTGCACCTCATCGGTCAACGAAGTGGAAGCTTTAAATGGTTATCTTGTATGTAAGAAAATGGTTATCTAAATATTATCATTTTAAACATTTTGCATTTGTTGTGGAGCTTTTATCATTCGGGAAATGTTAGATGATCGGATGATCTTCTTGTCACTATGTGTGAGACATCATTATCTAATCTAACAATTCGGAGTGGAATGGTATAAATAATCTAGAACAGCCAACAACTCCAATTGCGACGTCTCACTGTTCAGACAAAGAACGCCATTTATTATCCATGTCTTTTTTCTTTGTGTTCTTATTGTCACAGAGAATAATTAATTGGCAAAGAAGCTAACGTTTAACGATCATGAACAGGTGTGATTGATAAGTCGCTTACACCATCTCCATCTCCATCTCAACCGGTGTCATCCACGGATCCACCGACCACTTGCTCTTGATGTACCATAAAATATTGAACAGGTCCATGAAAATCCACTGGAGGAGGATGCTCGATAGCAGTCCATGGACTTTTCTTTGCTTGTACTTGTATTGTTCTGAAGGGTCGAATCATCTTATTAGTAGTCTGATGTCGTTATGCGTTCCCGACTTTGCAGCATGTGGCGTCGATCGCAGCGAAAGATGGGTGTGTGGTCACTAAGGCCGCCTGTTGATGATGCAATCAAACTTCATCCTTGTGGATCAAAGTTGTGAGTCGATTGTTTTGCAGAAAAATTAGACAGTGATGCAATCAAATAATTTTTTTAAATAAATGATTGACTGGGAAAAGGTCAGCTTTCTTGCACCTCATCGCTCAGTCAAGAGGAAGCTTCATTTTAGGCTTTGGTGTTTCCGTAACATATCATTTGTCCAAGCTTTTATCTGAAGAGTACCTCTCTGCTAGTGTGCAAATCGAGAGATGGGTGTGCTGTTAGGGTATCGCTTGTTCCAGCTGTTGATGCTGCCGCTAGTGGGTGCAACGGCATCTGCAGCAGCTGCACCGCCTGGCTGCCGAAGGAGATGCGGCGAGGTTGACGTCCCCTACCCTTTTGGCATCGATCCTAACTGTTCTAGGGAAGGCTTCTCACTAGATTGCAACAAAATGGATGGCCACGAGAAACTTTTTTTGTCCAACGTCGAGATCACCAATATCTCATTGCCACTAGGCCAGGCACGCATGCTCAGTGAAATATCGTGGCAGTGTTACAACGTTAGCAACAATTCCAGATACGGCTATGTCTGGTCTCTGGATTTCACCAACAGACCATACAGATTCTCCGATGTCCACAACAAGTTCACTGTAATCGGCTGCGACACCCTCGCCTACATCGGAGGTTGGAAAAGGAACGACACCTACTGGAGCGGTTGCGGGTCTGTGTGTCACAACGAGGTGAGTTTGGTCAACAGCTCATGCTCCGACATCGGCTGCTGCCAAACCGCCATCCCCAACGACCTCACATACTATGAGGTTTTGTTTGATTCAAATTTCAACAGCTCGAGCACCTGGAACTTCAGTGACTGCAGCTATGCCGTATTGTTGGAGGCGAATCAGTTTGAGTTCCGAACATCTTACATCACAACGAACCAATTCTTGAGCAACAGCAGCATGGCGCCTATGGTGGTGGATTGGGCGATCAGAAACGAGACATGCGAGGTAGCACAGCGCGACACAACCTCCTACGCCTGCATCAGCGAGCACAGCGAGTGTTTGAACTCTTCCAATGGTCCTGGGTATCTTTGTAACTGTTCGAGAGGCTACCAAGGCAATCCTTATGTCGCTCAGGGCTGCCAAGGTCTGTTACCTGTTCCAGTCTCGTCTCTTTCTGGGATCTGTTTGCCTTTTCAGTTTTCATGATTTTGTTGCTGATAGTTGCGAATATGTTTTAATTGCAGACATCAATGAATGTGATGATAAAGATCGATATCCATGCCTTGGCATCTGCCAGAACACAGTTGGTAGCTACGATTGTTCCTGCCCGCCAGGCACACACGGCAACCCTTTAAATGCAAATTGCACTGCAGACCAGAAACTTTCGTCGCCAGTGAAGGTTATTATTGGTAAGACCCCATTCACCTTGACTTGTTTCTTTGTTGCAAGGATGTCTATGTTTAGAGAAATAATCTTAATTAAAAGAGAATTGAAGCATATATTTTTCATGGACACAGGGGGAGAATTGTAACCTCTAGGATTTGAATTTGATGGGATAAGAGAGGTTATCATGATCTAAAGATATATCATGGTGATCATGAAGAAAGGTTACATTGATTATGAAAAAGTAAAGCGTCGATAGAAAATTTCATAGCTAACACATGATAAAAATGTATGAATGCAGTCATCAAGATTAAGTATCGTAACTCTCATCTCTCTCATCTAGGGTTCTATAATTAGATGATATTTATCATGATCAAGTAGAGATAAAGTGAGTCAAGATACAAGTTTAGAGCCTTGACAGGAAAAGGAAATAAAGTTTGTGTTCGTCTCAAGCATCAAGTTCCCACTAATCTTCCTTTTTATTTATTTTCCTTTTCTTATCAGTCTACACAGATCTGATGTCAACTTCAGCCATGAGTTCAGACCTTTCTCCAGAGATACATCCTTTCTATCAACTAAAAAGAACTCATTGTCCAACTTCTGTGTTTCTTCTCTCCCAGGGAAATCCAACTTGTATGTTTATACCTGCTAAAAGTTGCAGGAAATAACGTTTACAAGTTATCTGTGATTCTTGTATTTGCATGGACTTCATGTATTCTAGTTATGTAGCTTAGCATAATGCTTGCGCAGAAGAAAAGCAATAAGAATAAGCATCCAGGATTTTATCATCAGAAAAGCAGAGCACAAAATTGTTCTGTGCTCGTATTATAGTTTCCAGTAACCACAAATCCAAAATAATTTGCATAAAAAACATAATTTTTGTTTCTCTTCCTGGTTTTAATTGGCCTGAAAATTTCTGAGATACAGGTAGTGGCAGTGGCTTGATCTTTCTACTAATATCCGGCATGTGTATCTATGTGATTTTTCAAAGAAGAAAATTCATCAAGATTAAGGAAAGATATTTCAGAGAACATGGAGGTTGGATATTATTGGAAGAGATCAAGGCTAAAGAGAGATACTTTAGAGAACAAGGTCTTGCATTTAAGATATTTGCCAAAGAAGAATTAGAAAAAGCTACAGAGAAGTATGATCAGAACCGAGTCCTTGGCAGAGGAGGACATGGTACCGTTTACAAAGGAGACTTGGAGGACAGTCGTGTCGTTGCCATCAAGAAACCCAAGATCATTGATGAGAGCCAAAAGAATGAATTTGGAAAAGAGCTGCTTATTCTGTCGCAGATCAACCACAAGAACATAGTTAAGCTCTTGGGTTGTTGCTTGGAAGTGGAGGTTCCGATGCTGGTTTATGAGTTTATCTCGAACGGGACCTTGTTCCAGCTGATTCACGACAACAACAGGGCATCTCCCTTTTCCTTGGCCACTCGCTTGAGGATCGCTCATGAGTCTGCCGAAGCTCTGGCCTACTTGCATTCATCGGCTTCGCCTCCCATCATTCATGGCGACGTGAAGTCTTCCAACATCCTTTTAGATGAAAACTATACAGCAAAAGTTTCTGACTTTGGAGCTTCGAAGCTGGTTCCAAAAGATGAGGATCAGTTTGCTACCTTGGTGCAAGGGACTTGTGGTTACTTGGACCCAGAGTACCTCCAAACCTGCCAGTTGACAGAGAAAAGTGATGTTTATAGCTTCGGCGTGGTGCTTCTGGAGCTGATGACCCGCAAGAAGCCAATTTATTTTGAAGCATCTGAAGATGAGAGGAGCCTCGCATCATGTTTTATTCTCGCGACGAAGGAGAACCGACTTATGGAGATCTTGGATGATCAGGTGAGAAACGAAGGGGATACGGAACTGATTCAAGAAATGAGCGAGCTCGTAAAGCAATGCTTGAAGTTCATGGGAGAAGAAAGGCCTACGATGAAGCAAGTGGCGGAAGAGCTCGACAGGTTGAGAAAATTCAAGCAGCACCCGTGGGTACCGCAGAATACCGAGGAGATTGAGAGCTTGCTCAGTCAACCATCAGTTGACCATGAGACATATTATCATGGAATTGAAACCACTACTAGCTATAATCCAGAGAAAAGATTGGGATTGGACATCGAATATGGAAGATGATGATCTGGTGCATGCTCAAACTCTCTGGTTCTCGAGGCTTCTTGATGCAATCTTGAATTGATACTGCTGCTATGTATACTTGTGATCGTGTGTGTTTGTGCCAGTGTATAATGGCGAAGAATATTTATTAATAACTACAGGAAATCTCTGTCATTTCCTTGCTGGAATATGTTGTGTGTAAGAATAAGGTTATCCCAATAAATATTATCATTTCAAACATTTTGCATTGATTGTGGAGCTTTTATCATTCAGGAAATGTTCCATGATCGGCTGACCTTGTTGTCGCCATGTCTGAGATATCATTATCTAGTCTAATAATGTGACCTTGTTGTCGCCATGTCTGAGATATCATTATCTAATTTAATAATTGAGATTAAAATGGTATAAACAGTCCATGTTCTTTATCTATGTCCATCTGATCTATTTAAGCATTAGCATGAACAATTATACATTAATTGCCACCCGTTTAATATGAAAATATGTATTATTTTGTGATCGGCTCTTAGATAAGCTTTCATAAGTTTATAAAAGTCCATCAGCATAAATTTTTTTTTTTTTATTATAGTTGTTAGCTTTCGATCATCCATGTAAAATTTCTAAGATGTAAAATTTCTAAAATTTATTTCCATAGCCTCCTTCCTGTGATTAATATTAGAAATATTTTTTGACTTTGATCCCTTTGATGATTAAATTTTATAAGACGGGACATGATGAATACATAAAATTAAAAAAATCCTAAAATATGAATCCCATATCATCCGATTTAAATTTTTTTTACAAATCATTCTTGATTTAAAAATAATTTTTATTATAATAACAAAAGTCTACAATAATTTTTAGACATCCACGTGCCGACTAAATAATAATATCTTTATGATACATATTATTTATTTTTGGGTTGATTAACCTATTATTATTTTTTATACTTTTCATAATAAGTAAAATAATTACCATCTCAAATTTTAGATGTAAATTAAGGGAGATGTGGGAGAGATTGAGCCGGTCCGACTCCATCGAAGGTTTATTGAACCTCACGATGGAGCCGGTTTAATTCCCGGGTAGCGTTGCTTGTTGCAATCGTGGGTTCGTCGCCGCGGTCGAACCCCGCTTCATGACGCGTGTAGCGGCATCGCAGAAGCGTCGCAAGGACGACATCCATCCTCGCGATCGTTTGTGCCCGCCCGTCCCTTGGGAGCTTCAAGAGTCCAACAACGCCCCGTGAGGTCTGCTGGTCTCCTCCTCTCCACCGATAAAGCGAGAACACGACAGACAGACAGACAGGCTAACGAACAAACAGGAGATGGGCGCGTCCTCTTCCGCCGACCACGGAGGCATCTCGGAGCAACAGCAACGGCAGGAAGAGGAGGAAAACTTAGCCGCCGCCAATGGCTTCCTCCCCTCCCTTCGCAATGCCTTCTCCAACCTCTCTCCGCCCTCCTCCTCTTCCGTCCCCCTCGCTTCCCTCCAGGTACTGCTGCTGCCTACCGATCCACAACCCATGTGACAACTGACCCTCGATTCTCCCCTCTTCCCTGGACGTGCAAGTTGTTGTGTCCGAATCCTCGCCGGTGCCGTAGCACTTCCCTGCCCTGTCGAACAATCTCGGCGCAACCCTGGTCTCGCTCTTCTTCCCCGTTGCCGATGATCGTGCTGACGGTCGTATTGATTGGATTGGCTTCTTGAGCGGCTACAAGCGATGCTACGGCAGGATGCCCGTCTCACGATCCATCAACGAGCTATACAGATTGTACGCCGCCCTGTCCCGGGAAGCCGGAGCGCCTTGCGGCTTGGAGTTCGATCCCGATGCTGGCGACGATGATAAGGTGGGCGGGTCTCTCTTGCCGGGAGAGGTGCTCATGCTTTTCTGGATCTGCTGGGTCATGGGGCATTCTTCGAGGATCGCGAAGATGTCCAGAAACGCAGAGGATCCTTTGGTGCTCCCTGACATGAGCCATTTGCTAGTGTCAGCTTTGGTTTCGTGCGGTGTGATCGCGGAGGAAGATGAGCACATTTGGAGATCCGATGTTTTGGCGGTCGATAAGGGTGTTTCTGCGCAGAAGTTTCAGACGTGGGTCTTGACGACAGCACCAGGCTCGGCGAATTGTCTTCCGAAGTATGTCCAGGAGAGGATCCAAGCTTGCTCTTCTTCGAAGGTACGTGAAATAATTCTCAATCATTCCATGAACTCAGGTAAACAAAGGAGTTGTTTATCTGCATGAGTAAGATGGTTTGTTCCTAACGTACCAAAACTTGCAGCAACTTTGTGAGTGTCAATTAGGCACAGGCACTGATGTAGCATAAGGGCATTCCTCCAAAGAGATTTGTTGAGAACTATTCACAAGAATTTAAGAAAAACAAATTTGCATGCATTAAGCTAATGTCAGGAATTTGGTTATGGAAGTGTTAGGGTCTACATGGGATAACACTGATACTGAGTTGAATTCATTTGTGAAGAGGATTTAGGAGACCAGGAGGCAAAATCATTAACTGACAACTTGAAAGTGTTAGTACATTGTTGGATGGAAGAATTGCTTCAATTGTCAGGTTGCTGTTAAATAAGCAATTGCGAAAATAACTTGTTCCAGCTGTTGATGCTACCGCTAGTGGGTACAGTGGCATCTGCAGCAGGTCCCCTGCCTGGCTGCCCAACGTGATGCGGCGAGATTGACGTCCCCTACCCTTTTGGTATATGTCTTAACTGTTTGAGGGAAGGCTTCTCACTAAATTGCAGCGCAACGGATGATGGCCTCGAGAAACTTTTTGTGTTCAACGTCGAGATCACCGATATCTCATTGCCACTAGGCCAGACACACATGCTCAATGAAATATAGTCGCAGTGTTGCAACGTAAGTAGCAATTCTATGGACTACAATTTCTGCTCTCTGAATTTGGTTGACACACCAAATAGATTCTCCGATGTCCACAACAAGTTCACTGTAATCGGCTGCGAGACCCTCGTCTGGATCGGATATCTCCAAAGGGCCAGAGCGGTTGTGTGTCCGTGTGTCACAACGAGGTGAGTTTGGTCAACAGCTCATGCTCCGGCATCGGCTGCTGCCAAACCTCCATCCCCAAGGACCTCGCATACTATGAGGTCTGGTTTGATTCAAATTTCAGCAGCTCGAGCATCTGGAACTTCAGTTGCTGCAGCTATGCCGTATTGTTGGAGGCCAATCGGTTTGAATTCCTAACATTTACATCACAACGGACCGATTCTTGAACGACAGCATTAGCAAGGCGCCTTTGGTGGTGGATTGGGCGATCGGAAACGAGATAGCAAAGCGCAACAGAACCTCCTACACCTGCATCAGTGAGCACCGCGAGTGTTTGAATTCTTCCAATGGTCCTGGGTATCGGTGTAACTGTTCGAGTGGCTACCATGGCAATCCTTATGTCGCTCATGGCTGCCAAGGTCTGTTACCTGTACCAGTCTCTTCTCTTTCTGGGATCTGCTTTCCTTTTCAGTTTTCATGATTTTGTTTCTGATACCGCCGAATATGGTTTAATTGCAGACATCGATGAATGCTCTGATAAATATCAATATCCATGCAATGGCATCTGCCAGAACCTGCCCGGTAGCTACAATTGTTTCTGCCTGTGAGGAACATATGGTGATTGTTTCAATGGACCATGCACTCAACAGCAGAACCTTCAATCATCAGCGAAGGTGGCTATAGGTAAGAGTCTTTTTTCCACCATGACTTTCGTCTTTGTCGAGGATCTCCAAACACATTTGATGCCAAGTATTACAAATAAATTCTTTTGTTCCCTTTCTTTTCATGAATTTTATTTATTGCTTCAAATCCTTTCACCTGTCTGCACTATAGACTAGGTGTATATTATAGGGAGGACTAATGCCTGGTTCAATCTTATCTTCTTGTTGTCTTGGATCATCTCTAAGTAGCTGATGATTTTTTGATCCACTCAAGAAAGTGTATTTACTTGTGAAAGATCAATAATATGTTAAATTCCGAATTGCCGGTATTGCTTTTATCGGCCTAGGTAGAACCGACTTCGGTTGTAGAACCTTGAAGAACTTTTGTGATTAACAAAGTCTTCTTGAAGGTCCTTTATCCTCGTATTTTTTCCAACTTCAGTCATGAGTTCAGACCTTTGGCATCACTGTGAACGAGAAAGCAAGACGGCTTTGCTTCTTCTCCCTCGGGGAAGTCCAACTTGTGTATTTATACCTACTAAAAGTAGAGGGAAATAGTATTCTTTAATATCATATTTAATATGATGAGTTATCCACAGTTCTCGTATTGACTGCATTTATTCTAGTTATGTAATTAAAAATAATCCTTTCACGGCATTCAATGGAGAAACTGCAAAAGAAAAAGAACAAAAAAAAAAGCATCAAGGATAATAGCAGCAGAAATGCAGAGCATAAATATGTCCATGCTTGTCTTATTGTTACAATGTGCATAAAAATCATAGTTTTTATTTCTTTTCATGATGTTAATTGGCCTGAATTTATGAGAGACAGGTACTTGCGATCTTGGATGATCAAGTGAGAAATGAAGAGGATATAGAACTGATTCAAAGAATTAGGGGGCTCACAGGGCAACGCCTGAACTATAGGGGAGAAGAAAGGCCTACGATGAAGGAAGTGGCGGAAGAGCTTGACAGGTTAAAAGAATTAAAGCAGCACCCGTGGGTGCCACGAAATGCTGAGGAGATAGAGAGCTTGCTCGGTGAACCATCAGGTGAGCGTGGAATTGATACCATTACTTGCTATAATTCAGCGAAAAGATTGGCGTTAAATTTATTCCCAAACACATCAACTCCCTTGTTTTTATAGTTTCTTGAAGCAATCTTAAATTGATCGGCAATATATGGTTGTAAATGTCTGTTTGCCATTTCCTACTGGATTATGTTCTGAGCTATGTAGAAAGAATATGTATCAGTAACTATAGGAATCTGAGATCTGTACAAATTCAATTTGCAGATCGGACCACAGTCTTTTCCTCGACCTATATTCTCCCGTAATAAGTGGGCTAATTATATATTACCTACCTTATTAATATCATGATCTTTATATTTTAAAAAATTATATTATTTTTTTTTATAATTTTAAAAATAAAATAAATAACTTTATTTATGTCATCAGATATTAATAAAAAATATAATATATTTTTATCCATCATTTTTGTATCGATTCGATACGTGTGTCACATGTTATATTTTTTATCAATATAATTGATAACGTTAGGATAAATAAGATTATTTATTTTATTTTTAAAATTATAAAAATAATTAATATAATTTTTTAAATATAATATTATTATATTAATATAATGTAAGTATGTATACGAGGTAATATATAATTAATCTGTCATAAGTCGTTTGTGCGCATAAGGCTACTCTCAATCCTCCGAAATAATCACATTACAGAAAAGAGATGGTCATCAGTATATAAAGTAAGTAAATGCTGTTTGTCGTGCAATGACGAGATCGCCCCCCTCAATTGTTGTGTTGTGGTGCTCGTACGTGTCCGTTCCTTTGGGGATCTGAGAGAACTCCTTCCTCCCAAGAGAGCGCAGACATGGGGGCGTTCTCTCCGCCGATCACGATAACCGCCGCTTTTCACGAGCAACGAAGGCAGCAGGTAGCGGAGGAATCTTTAGCCGCCTCCGCCGGCTCCCTCCACGCAGCTATGGTCGACCCATTTTGGGCGACGTCGCCGGTTCTTCCCCGGAGTCGTGGATGGGCTTATGGAGAGGCGCCTACAAGATTGTACGCCGCCCTATCGCAGACAGGAAGACGACGAGGGTGCCAAGGTGAGCCATGTCAACCATCACGTTTTAATCGCTAGTTTAGGTAGACTAGTCAACACCACCAATTGCGACGTCTCTCTGAGCAGACAGAGAACGTCATTTCTTATTCATGTCTTCTTCTTCTTTTTTTGTGTTCTGCTTTCACAAAGAAGAATTAATTGAGAAAGAAGCTAACATTAAACAATCATGAATTGGTGTGATAAGTCGCTTACACCATCTCCATCTCAGCCGGTGTCATCCGCGGATCCACCAACCGCTAGTTCTTCTTGTACCATTAAAGATTGAACAGGTCCATGAAAATCCACTTGACGAGGATGGTCGATAGCAGTTCATTGAGTTTTCTTTCCTTGTACTTCTATTGTTCTGAAGGATCGAAACATCCTATTAAAAGTCAGATGTTGTTTTGCGTTCCCAACTTTGCAGCATGTGGCGCCGATCAAAGGGAAAGATGGGTGTGTGGTCACATAAGGCTGCCTGTTGACATAATCAAAGTTCATCCTTGTGGATCCAAGTTTTGAATCAATTTTTTTTTTTTTTTGCAGAAAAATTAGACAGTGATGCAATCAAATAATCAATTTTTGCTTCAAATGATTGACTGGGAAAAGGTCAGCTTTCTTGGACGTCATCGTTCAGCCAAGAGGAAGCTTCATTTTAGGCTTTGGTGTTTCCATAACAGATCATTTGTCCAAGCTTTTATCTGAGAGTACCTCTCTGATAATGTGCAAATCGAGAGATGGGTGTGCTGTTAGGGTATCGCTTGTTCCAGCTGTTGATGCTGCCGCTAGTGGGTGCAGCGGCATCTGCAGCAGCTGCACCGCCTGGCTGCCGAACGAGATGCGGCGAGGTTGACGTCCCCTACCCTTTTGGCATCGGTCATAACTGTGCGATGGAAGGCTTCTCACTAGATTGCAACACAACGGATGATGGCCTCGAGAAACTTTTTTTTTCCAACGTCGAGATCACCAATATCTCATTGCCACTAGGCCAGGCACGCATGCTCAATGAAATATCGTGGCAGTGTTACAACGTTAGCAACAATTCTTTGGACTACAACTTCTGGTCTCTGAATTTGGTAGGCACACCATACAGATTCTCCGACGTCCACAACAGGTTCACTGTAATCGGCTGCGAGACCCTCGCCTACATCGGAGATTTCCAAAGTGCCGACAGCTACCAGAGCGGTTGCGTGTCTGTGTGTCACAACGAGGCGAGCTTGGTCAACAGCTCATGCTCCGGCATCGGCTGCTGCCAAACCTCCATTCCCAAGGACCTCACATACTATGAGGTCTGGTTTGATTCCAATTTCAACAGCTCGAGCATCTGGAACTTCAGTGACTGCAGCTATGCCGTATTGTTGGAGGCGAATCAGTTTGAGTTCCTAACATCTTACATCACAACGAACCAATTCTTGAGCAACAGCAACAGCAAGGCGCCTTTGGTGGTGGATTGGGCGATCGGAAACGAGACATGCGAGGTAGCACAGCGCGACACAACCTCCTACGCCTGCATCAGCGAGCACAGCGAGTGTTTGAACTCTTCCAATGGTCCTGGGTATCTTTGTAATTGTTCGAGTGGCTACCATGGCAATCCTTATGTCGCTCATGGCTGCCAAGGTCTGTTAAGTCTCCTCATTCTTGGATCTGCTTGTCGTTTTAGTTTTCATGATTTTGTTTCTGATACTGCTGAATATGCTTTAATTGCAGACATCGACGAATGCTCTGATAAAGATCAAAATCCTTGCCATGGCATCTGTCAGAACCTGCCTGGTAGCTACAATTGTTTCTGCCCGCGAGGTACATATGGTGATGCCTTCAATGGAACATGCACCCAACACCAGAAACTTCCATCATCAGCGAAGGTGGCTATAGGTAAGAGTCTTTTTTCCACCATGACTTTTGATGCCAAGTATTAGAAATGTCCTTTCTTTTCATGAATTTTATTTATTGCTTCAAATCCTTTTAATCTGTCTGCACTATAGACTAGGTGTATCTTATAGAGAGGGGACTAATGACAATAGCCTGGTTTGATTTTATATTCTGTTGTCTTGTACCATCTCCAAGTAGTTGATGATTTTTTTTTATCCACATACACAAGAAAGTGTATTTACATGCAAAAGATCAATAATATGTTAAATTCAGAATTGTTGGTATTGCTTTTATTAGCCTGGATGGAACCGACTTCGGTTGCTGACCCTCGAAGTACTTTTGTGATTAACAAAATCATGTTTTTTTTTCAACTTCAGCGATGAGTTTAGACCTTTGGCATCATCGTGACCGAGAAAGAAAGAAATTCTTGATGGTTATGCTTTTTTTCTCTTGGGCTAATTACAAATTATTTTCGAAATTAGTTATCTTTAACATCTCGGTCCTTCTACTTTCAAAAGTTATATTGGATCCATATACTTATGAAAATGAAACATTTGATATAATTTCTTCTCATACTATCAACCCTGCTGATTGAAATAACATAAAGTTGACCATAAACATTCTTCTCATACTGCGTGAACTTTAGGTATTCTAGTTATGTAGCTTAGCATAACGCTTACGCAGAAGAAAAGCAATAATAATAAGCATCCAGGATTTTATCATAAAAAAAGCAGAGCACAAAATTGTTCGTGTTCGTATTATAGCTTCCAGTAACCACAAAACCAAAATAATATGCATAAAAAACAGAATTTTTGTTTCTCTTCCTGGTTTTAATTGGCCTGAAAATTTCTGAGATACAGGTATTGGCAGTGGCTTGATCTTTCTACTAATATCCGGCATGTGTATCTATGTGATTTTTCAAAGAAGAAAATTCATCAAGATTAAGGAAAGATATTTTAGAGAACATGGAGGTTGGATATTATTGGAAGAGATCAAGGCTAAAGAAAGATACTTTAGAGAACAAGGCCTTGCATTTAAGATATTTGCCAAAGAAGAATTAGAAAAAGCTACAGAGAAGTATGATCAGAACCGAGTCCTTGGCAGAGGAGGACATGGTACCGTTTACAAAGGAGTATTGGAGGACAGTCGTGTCGTTGCCATCAAGAAACCCAAGATCATTGATGAGAGCCAAAAGAATGAATTTGGAAAAGAGCTGCTTATTCTGTCGCAGATCAACCACAAGAACATAGTTAAGCTCTTGGGTTGTTGCTTGGAAGTGGAGGTTCCGATGCTGGTTTATGAGTTTGTCTCGAACGGGACCTTGTTCCAGCTGATTCACGACAACAACAGTGCATCTCCCTTTTCCTTGGCCACTCGCTTGAGGATCGCTCATGAGTCTGCCGAAGCTCTGGCCTACTTGCATTCATCAGCTTCGCCTCCCATCATTCATGGTGACGTGAAGTCTTCCAACATCCTTTTAGATGAAAACTATACAGCAAAAGTTTCTGACTTTGGAGCTTCGAAGCTGGTTCCAAAAGATGAGGATCAGTTTGCTACCTTGGTGCAAGGGACTTGTGGTTACTTGGACCCAGAGTACCTCCAAACCTGCCAGTTGACAGAGAAAAGTGATGTTTATAGCTTCGGCGTAGTGCTTCTGGAGCTGATGACCCGCAAGAAGCCAATTTATTTTGAAGCATCTGAAGAAGAGAGGAGCCTCGCATCAAGTTTTATTCTGGCCTCGAAGGAGAACCGACTTATGGAGATCTTGGATGATCAGGTGAGAAATGAAGGGGATACGGAATTGATTCAAGAAATGACCTCGCTCGCAAAGCAATGCTTGAACTTTAGGGGAGAAGAAAGGCCTACGATGAAGCAAGTGGCGGAAGAGCTTGACAGGTTGAGAAAATTCAAGCACCCGTGGGTACCGCAGAATACTGAGGAGATTGAGAGCTTACTCAGTCAACCATCAGTTGACCATGAGACATATTATCATGGAATTGAAACCACTACTAGTTATAATCCAGAGAAAAGATTGGCATTGGACATCGAATATGGAAGATGATGATCTGGTGCATGCCCAAACCTCTGGTTCTCGAGGCTTCTTGATGCAATATTGAACCATGTATCCTTGTGATCGTGTGTGTTTGTGCCTGTGTAATGACAGAATATTTATTAATAACTTCAAGCAATCTCTGCCCATTCTTTGTTGGATTATGTTGTATGTAAAGAATAAGGTTATCTATATAAATTTGATCATTTCAAACATTTTGCATTGATTGTGGAGCTTTTATCATTTGGGAATTGTTAGATGATTGGCTGATCTTGTTGTCATCATGTTTGAGACATCATTATCTAATCTAATAATTGAGAGTAGAATGGTATAAATAGTCTATTTTCTTTATTTATGTCAACCCGATCTATTTAAGCATTGGCACGGACAAACATACATTAATTTTCACCCGTCTAATAAGAAAATATGATATTATTTTGTGATTGATTCTTGGACATGCTTTCATAAGTTTATAGAAATCCATCAACATAAAAAAAAAAAATAATAATTTTTTTATTATAGCTGTTAGTCTTCTTCTCGATCATTCATGTGAAATTTCGAAGATGGAAACATCCTTCTATAGCCTCCTTCCTACAACAAAGATTAATATTATAAATATTTCTTAACTTTGAACGCTTTGATGACTAAATTAAATAAGATTGAAGGTGATGAATATGGAGAAAAATAAAATAAAATCTGCAACTCATATCATCATATCCCCCCCCTTCTATAGTCGATAATATGTTATTATGAGCATTAATAAATTATTCTTTAAATCATTCTTGATTTGAAAAATATTTTTTATTATAATAACAATAGTCTCTAATAATTTTTATCGTTAATTGCCACATAGACATCCACGTGCCGAGAAAATAATAATATCTTTATGATATATATTAGTTTATTATTGGGTCAATTATCTTATTATTATTTTTATAATTTTTATAACAAATAAATTAAATACCGTCTCAATTTTTACATCGACAAATCGGTGTAGTAAACCAACGGCGGTGTGCGAGAGATTGAGCCGGTCCAACTCCATCCAAAACTTATTGAACCCCATTGGTTGCAATCTGGTAGCATTGGTTGTTGCAATCGTGGGTTCGTCGCCGCCGTCGAATCCCGCTTCATGACGCGTGTCGAAGCATCGCATTGGCGTCTCGAGGACGACATCGCCCTCTCCATCCTTGCGATCGTTTGTGCCCGCCCGTCCCTTGGGAGCTTCAAGAGTCCAACAACGCCCTGTGAGGCATCTTCACATATCGCACGTCTGCTGGTCTCCTCCTCTCCACCGATCAAGCGAGAACACGACGGACAGACAGGCTAACGAACAAACAGGAGATGGGCGCGTCCTCTTCCGCCGATCACGGAGGCATCTCGGAGCAACAGCAGCGGCAGGAAGAGGAGGAAAACTTAGCCGCCGCCACTGGCTTCCTCCCCTCCCTTCGCAATGCCTTCTCCAGCCTCTCTCCGCCCTCCTCCTCTTCCGTCCCCCTCGCTTCCCTCCAGGTACTGCAGCTGCCTACCGATCCACAACCCATGTGATAACTGACCCTCGATTCTCCCCTCTTATGCGTGTAGGAAGCTCTCTCCCTGAACGTGCAAGTTGTTGCGTCCGAATCCACGCCGGTGCCGGAGCACTTCCCTGCACTGTCGAACAATCTCGGCGCAACCCTGGTCTCGCTCTTCTTCCCCGTTGCCGATGATCGTGCTGACGGTCGAATTGATTGGATTGGCTTCTTGAGCGGCTACAACCGGTGCTGCGGCAGGATGCCCGTCTCACGATCCATCAACGTGCTATACAGATTGTACGCCGCCCTGTCCCGGGAAGCCGGAGCGCCTTGCGGCTTGGAGTTCGATCCCGATGCTGGCGACGATGATAAGGTGGGCGGGTCTCTCTTGCCGGGAGAGGTGCTTATGCTTTTCTGGATCAGCTGGGTCATGGGGCATTCTTCGAGGATCGCGAAGATGTCCAGAAACGCAAAGGATCCTTTGGTGCTCCCTGACATGAGCCATTTGCTAGTGTCGGCTTTGGTTTCGTGCGGTGTGATCGCGGAGGAAGATGAGCACATTTGGAGATCCGATGTTTTGGCGGTCGATAAGGGTGTTTCTGCGCAGAAGTTTCAGACGTGGGTCTTGACGACAGCACCAGGCTTGGCGAATTGTCTTCCGAAGTATGTCCAGGAGAGAATCCAAGCTTGCTCTTCTTCGAAGGTACGTGAAATAATTCTCAACCATTCCATGAACTCAGGTAAACAAAGGAGTTTATCTGCATGAGTAAGATGGCTTGTTCCTAACATAGCAAAACTTGCAGCAACTTTGTGAGTATCAATTAGGCACTGGCACTGATGCAGCATAAGGGCATACCTCCAAAGAGATTTATTGAGAACTATTCACAAGAATTTAAGAAAAAGAAATTTGCATGCATTAAGCTAATGTCAGGAATTTGGTTATGGAAGTGTAAGGGTCTACCTGGGATAACACTGATATGAGTTGAATTCATTTGTGAAGAAGATTTAGGAGACCAGGAGGCAAAATCATTAACTGACAACTTGAAAGAATGCACAATCAGGACTATGTATTATTTTTCACAATCTAGTGTAAGTGTTAGTGCATTGTTTGATGGAAGAATTGCTTCAATTGTCAGGTTGCTGTTAAATAAACAGTAGTGAAAATTCTTTATATTCATCCCTTGTTGTGGTTTACGGCTTTGACATGATGGGTGTCTAAACTGATTTTTCTACACCTGCACATTTTTGATAGGTTCAGGGACAACTTCTCTTTAGAGTTCTATCTTAAAAAGAATAAAATAGAAGCTTCTTTTGAGGCACATGTTATCGTATACAACCTATGATTGGTTGAGGATGCTCACGGGTGTGAAATAGTGGAGAGGATGCGGCACTTGATTAAGCGCCCATGAGTAAGGATGACAGTAGTTATATTAAGGACACTAGACTTCTATATGTGAAGAATGGTTAGCACTTGGGTTGACCTCTATCCACTGATCTAGGGGGCTAGATCTTACAGTCAATTTGGTTGGTAATTTGGCCTTGTTATATGTTTCTAGTCCAGCTACTTTTAAGTCACACATGTTGAAAAGGATAGATGCTGTGAAATCACAATAGGGTTCCTTGGTTCTGTATATCAAGCAGCTTTGTAATCTTTCTGTCACATGCATCTGGCAATTTCTCTTCTGAGTTCTTTCAAATTGTTGAATATGACTTTGTCAACCGAATTTCTAATCTAAATCCTTAAACTAAACATGGGAATCAATGTGGCCATGCATGCTAATGCTATGATAAGAGCCAAAGCTTCGTTCTAACTGCCTAAAACTGGCTCTGGAATGTCTTATTTTTAAATTCATACATCTTCTGGATCACAGAAGAAAAAGTTATATGCGTAAAATAGTTCTACTTGGATTTAAATTGAATGCTTGATCAAAATTTTAGCTGTGCATCATAAAATTTTGGATTCGGAGAGATTCTGCCGAACCCCTGTTGTTATGTCAACATTGCTTACTGCAATGCTGAAAAGGAGCTTCATGTCACAGTGGAGGGAATTATGTCAGTCCTTGCTGGCTATTTGGCTTGTTATAATAACTCAATCTATAATTTTCAATGAGTTTTATTTTGTGCTAGCAATGAAAAATTCAGGGAATTTTATTTTCTGACCTAAGTCGTATATCGGCAGGAGAGTGAAGGCTCCTCTATTTCAGCATCTGATAACAATTCGACTGGTAATGTTCGTGATGTGTGTCTCTTGACACGAGGAAGGGCTTGGGCTGTCTCCCTTGCATTGAGGGATAGGTTGAGTGAAGAATTTCTTGCTGCCTCCTTCCAAGGAATAAACTCTGGGGACTTCTTATACAGGTTTGTCATAGTGGTCATAACTGTTTGTGGTTATAATGTGCATATACTTTATGTTTACTTGTTTGATAAGTTTTTCCATAAATAGATTCATTTTATAGTCTCTTCATTTAAAAAGTATGAATACGATTTATTTTGGAATTTTCTGACTACCTACTATTTATTGTCACAGAATTCAGACTCATGACATATACCTTCCATTTTCTAATATGACTCAGAATTTCAGGGTCTGTTTGTCTAATTGTTTTGGTTAATATCAGTAATAATATAGTACTTGATGATTGTGAACCCTTCCACCCTACGTTACTTCTTTCGGGATATTAATCTTTGAATTATTTGATATGGAGTATATGGTTGCTGTACGGTAGGGAATATTAAGTCTTGACTAAGAAATCCTAGATCTGTACAAATTCTAAAGTATCGAATCTATAATGAATACAGCTGCTGCATGCTTTCAGTTAGGGGGAAAAACCTCTTCTACAAGCTTCAGAGATATATATTGCATCAGCAATATCTATTCAATATGTTATTTTAAATATCTTGTCTCGATCTATTAAAAGGAAATTGAAATGTACCTCATCTTAGGATTGTAGCAAGACTTCAAAAATGGATGTTCCATCTTACTTGATCTGTTTAGATTATACATTTGTAACAATTTTGGGTGGATTTGGTATTTGAGAACTAAAGCGCATATGTATTTGCAAAGTGAATCTTTTGGTTTCTGTTCATAAGCAGCCCATCCTGGATTTGGGATGAATCTGAGTTTTCATATATCAAGATGTTTTGCAGGTCATCAATTCATGGGAAGGGTTTGAGTAGGTTTTGGTCTAATGTTGAAGGTTACAATGGACCCCTAATAGTTTTGGTCTCTGCTAGTTCAGCAGAATCCTCAGAGGTTGATAGAAGTTCCAGAGGGTGGGTGATAGGAGTACTAATTACACAAGGTTTTGAGAACAGAGAAACATTTTTTGGAAGCTCTGGATATCTTTTTGCAATAAGCCCAATTTTCCACGTGTTTCCACCCTCTGGTATGTTGACTTACATGGTTTTGCTATCATACTTTATTTTAAAGTTGATTGACCTAGTATTTTTAAAGCAGGAAAGGAAAAGAACTTCATTTATTGCCACTTGCATCCTGCTATAAGGGTCTATGAAGCAAATCCAAAACCTGTTGGCTTAGCATTTGGGGGATCTACCGGCAATGAGAGGATATTTTTGGATGAAGATTTTGCTCAAGTTACCGTGCGTCATCATGCATTTGACAAAACTTACCAACATGGACCTCTCACTCCTAACCAGGTTAAGCTTCACATTTCAGACCCTATCATTAACATCTTTAGCTGTTTATATTCGTTTTTGGTCTTGGTTCTTCCACGAACTTGAACAGCTCATTTGCTGTGGGAATATTAGCATAAATTTCTTTGATAACTTTGCTAACCATAGGAGGCTGGATTATTTTTTATTGATGCTTTGCTGTTTTATCTTTGTCTTCCACCCATGAGAAATTCATCTTTGACCATGAGTAACCTTCTTTGTTATTTGGAGGAATCTATAACTTTTGAATTAAGTTTTCACAGGTCCATTCAAAACAGACAGACTTTGTTCTGAGATAGAGTTTCTAATGTCTGGCTGACCATTTTGAGTGATGTTGATTTCTGTAAATGTACTGTAGAAAATTATTCTTGATTTTTTCTTATCTAAAACTAAGGTGCATTTTCACTTCTCTCATTAAGACCTCCACGAGGATGCTGTTAAAGAGTACGGTAACAATTAAATCTTTCATGTTATGTTCTTTACAGGGTTTCTTACCAGTTGAGGCTCCTGTTGTAGAGGTCGAGGTATGGGGTTTTGGTGGAAAAACCGCAAAGGAACAGCAAGATTTCTATAAAAAAAGAGAGATGCTCTTCTCAGAACAGCGGCGAAAGGTTTGAGCATGACACCACTTATAGTTGCATTCTGACCCAAGGCCCAAAACTAATATTAACAGTGTGCTTGGCTCCTTGTGGCAGGTTGACCTGAAAACCTTTGCTAGCTGGGAAGATTCCCCCGAGAAGATGATGATGGACATGGTCTCTGATCCAAACAAAGTCCGACGGGAAGACCGCTAGAAAAAAAGATTTGGTTTATGCGTCCTGCTATTATTTGATTGTCATATTTCATAGATATAGAGGCTCATAATCCAGTTAACCATGAGATAGGGTAATTATATTGTTTCCAGGAAGTTCTAATGATCTCTATTTCTTTCGTATCAGAGATGTATCTATCTGAACTCACCACTGTATCCATGTAATAGCTGTGATGAATGAAATGAAAATATATAACGTGCTTCTTGGTTTCTTATAGATAAGACAAAGGACAATTGGATCGAATGGGCATAATATACTTTTATGCATTTCTACCTCACAAATTATATGTGGGAGGTCATTATTTGATGTGCTTAAAGTGCATAGTTATTACTAATATATCAACTCAGTCATGCACGTTGTTCCAATACTCCATCGTGGCAATCTAATAGTCTTGACTTGATTTCTCTAGTACTAATAACTTCAGATTAGAGTCCATTTTATACAGGCCAGTAGTGTATTATGGTCATGACAAATTATTCCATGTTTGACGTAATCTTCGTGCCTAACTTATTGTAAATTATTCCTCTATATATATAATTTTCTTTTTAATTTTCCCTTCATTCTCACGCTCTCAGTCCATTGTATATGAGCCCCACCCTATTACGACGGATAGGGTCCAAGAACTCGGCCGCTGATGCCTTCCTATTCCAACATCACAAGCGTCCACTGTTCAGGCATTGGCCATCATCAGCCCACCACGTGTGCGTCCCCATCGCGATCTGTGGATCGGATCCTACCTTACCCCAAATCAGAAGAAAATGGTTCCCATCGTAACCGTACAATTTGAATGTAGACGGTTAAATCACTGTCGGAGTAGTACCATATCCCTGGATAGGATCCTAACCCGACGGCCTTACGTACTCAGTGATGCCATTAATTCCGGAAATCATGAGTAGAAAAAGCATTTAAAATAGCCGCATCCAGCGGCGCAGACCGGAAGCCGACGGGAGGCAGCCGACTCTTGTGCTATCATTAGGGTTCTCTCGATTTCCCCCTCTCTCTCTCTGTCTCTCTCAACCTTCTTTAGGAGATCCATTTCTCCGATCAGGAGAGAAATCGCAGTCGGCTTCCCTCCTCCGATTCTTGTAGTGCCTTCCGCAGATCGATCGAATACTGGTCTAATTTATAATCGGATCGTGTTGAATGGCCGGATTGAAGCAGCCGAAGAGGGTTTCTTGGGCCAAAGATTTGCATCAGGTAATATTGAACCGGATCCACGCCGACCCCCATGTATCTCACCTGAGTACTCTGGCTTTTCCTGATCCGTCGTGTTTTCATGCCTTCCAATCGTCGAGTCCTTGCTACTGTTACATGTTGGTTCTTTTTCCGATTTCTTCTTACGGCCACATCCCGTGTTACGAATACAATTATGATTTTTTCTGTTGTCGCAATTTCTGTTAGTTCTCGGCTTGTTTTCCCCCATTTGGGAAATTGATTGTCGCGATTGTCTGTTTGTTCTTCGATTTCTTTTTCCCAGTTGGTAAATTGATCGGGAGTGCCGATCTGTGCATTTTGTTGAGTTCTCGTTCATCCTTTTTGGTAATTTCGATCGGTAGTTGCCGTCTCAATCAGATCTGTTTCTCTTTAATCTCCAGCCTATCATTTATAAGTACCCGGGTAGAGGTTTCGATGGAATTAAAGTCTTTGTGCTTCGTTATAGACGAGTCATCGCTTGGTTTGGTCCACTGGTGTTTTGTTCTTTGTTTGTTAGTAAGCTTTACGTAGTATGTTTGAACAGGGGAGTTGGATCGAGATGTGGCATGATGGATCGGACGTCCAAGCCAATTACACACTTTAATTTGGTGTCTTTTGACATGTTCCATCTGCAGAATTTGCCACGGAGAAGTTAATACACAGATTACATCGTCTTCGTGGATGACTAATTAACCAATCGATGTTGAATAGCATACCAATTAAATGTCGATTGAACGACACAGTACCAACTCATGTTGCATTTGTATCAATTCAACCACCGGTGGAGATCTGTAGCTTAGAATGCTGCAAGATCTTTGGTAAAACTCATTTCGGATCAGTCAGAAACCAAGATAATGCTATTTAAAAATAGATGATGTGTCTTTCAGCGCATGATTAATGAGTTGGTGCAAGGAATATAACATTTAAGATAACTTGCAACATGAGTTGTAATGCCAGATTTAAGTGTCTCACTGATTGGTGGAATCCTGTGAGTGCCCAAATTATAGCTACTTTCTCTTACAGGAAGATTCTTGTTAGCTTTTCTCAAGCAAAGATCACTTGAGCCTTTCAAAAGATTGTATTCCATAAGAAGTACGACTACAATTGTGTGGTACATGTTAATTGATGTAATCTGTAGCTTATAAAACATCAAATTGCTTGAACTTATGTCAGATCATCATAAAATACACAGCCATGAGCTCAATAACACCTTCATGAGCAACTAATGTGGTTCAAGCGTATTATATACTAATATTTCAAAGCAATATGGTAAATTACTAATTATTTCTATATTAAAAAAATGTGTATCAATGGATCTTATGAAAATAAGATATTGGAAATGTAATTTATTGATAAAACATTTCATTGATTAGTCAAGCTATGAATTAGTCAAAAATTCTGTTAGTTGACTGAAATTTGGAAATCAGTTGATTTAAAAGTTTATGCCATTTAATTATTTCTTCTATTTTTTTAAAGCTTATATTTTTCTATGTGTTGTAATATTATTTTTAGTTTATTTTTAATTTTCTTTTGTTTTACCATGAATTGAGTAGTTGTTTTGTTTTGTTTTTTCCTTTATGGATTTTATAAGCTTAACTAGAAAAGGACAATGCTATGTACTGGACAACAAGTAAAACCTAAAAGAATCATAATATAAGTTTTTGATAAAATATAACAAAAAACATAGATTAAACTTTAAAGTTTCATCTTGTGATCTTTAAGTAAAAAATAATCTCTAATAGTTAATAAATTATCTTTTAAAATTAATGAATTATATGATTTATTAACATTAATTAGTACAATTTTGACTAATTGACTACTTTCTTAATAAATCATTTGACTTCAAAAAAATCAGTTTAGATTTTTGAAACCATATTGATTATCGGAAAACTCCTAATTGATACTTAAATTATTAAAAACTGCAATTAATTATATAAGGTTAACCCATAATTAATGTTTTTTCTCCGATATCATATATAAAGAAAATGAATTTATTAATTGGCTGATTTTAACATGATTAAGTTTATTTTTAAGTGTGTAAACCTTTCCATCTGGTCCTTTTATGCTAATTCATTTATATTTTAACATCCAGAATAATCCAATGAAAAGCAAGTGCAATTAGACCCTTTAAAACTATAATATCCAAAGAATGCTGTTTAACCAGGTTAGCAATGAAGGAAAATTCAAGTAACCATCACTACATTTTATTCCATTCCCCCCAACCCTCCATTTCCTATTCCCTTCTATCTTATTCATGGAAAGCCCTTTTTCAGTGTGACATTAGCAGTGGGACCTGACTCACTCTGCTGCTAATATCTGAGACCAACTAGTTTTTCCTTGACAGATCAATGAGTTGAGTAATTGTTCATGAGTCCACTTATTCCTTGATCCTGTAGCTACCATCAAGGAAAATTTTAAGAGATTTAGCTGCAAAATCTAAACAGAAGGAATTCTTCATCCATTCCAAGTTTGCTCTAGAAAATAGCATTTGATATATATAAAAGATTTAAAGTAATATTGCAGATAACAAAGCCATGAACAAGATGAAGAATCTCAATGTGATTTCTCACTAAATTGTTTCTTATTTGATTTTTACTCGTGGCAAAAATCATTGTTGTGCGTCTTAGTTATTAGTTGCCATTTCATTTTTAGGTTTTGCTTGTGGTTTGGTAAGAATATGCAATGCAATAAATATGAGACAAACCTCTTTTCATCTAGAGGAGAAATGTGGAAATTATTTTGTTTAAACATCTTGCGACGAGTTCCTGCAGTTGATATGATGCTTCACTAATAGAAGCATTTTTTTGTTATCTTGAATATCAACTGGTATTTTGTCATCATTGTGTCATGTGAATTTGCTACTCGTGTTGCTTCTCTTAACTATTAACAAGAAAAAAGACTGGAACAAAACAGCAAAATTTAAGTACTAGAAGCAGTGGCAAGCAAATGATACTTAGATGAAGAAACAACCCAATCTAATGAAAAGGTTTGTTTATGATATCAGGACAAGGCTATAGTTATAAAACTGCAAATAAAAATGGTGTTTGCCGTTCCTAGGATCCCATGATCTGGCATGCATATTTGTTACATGATAAAAAGGATATCTAAGTTTGATGCTTGAAAATCTTATGGAATTGTCTAAAACAATGATGGAGAGGAAACATAAGTATCAAGATATAAAAATGAGATGTGATTGCTACTGCAAGTAAAGTTCTGATATTGATGTCAATTATGACAATCTGTGGAACATGCCCATATCATGTGGGATCCATATGCAAAATGGTGATTTGCTCAGTCAAAACTTTCTCAAGTTTTGGAGATCATGACAGGAAAATGTAGTAAATTTATTGTGCCCTTCAGCTGTTGGTGAAGAAGGGTGTTGCATAGTGTTGTCTATATTTACACGTGTTTCCGGTGCGATGGATTATGACCTTTTATGGCTATACCATGGAAATTATACTGGTTTTGGAGAACGCGATGTTAATCTCATATAACCATAAAGCTTGTAGCTGCTTTAGTTTAATCTATTTTTTCTATTACTCTGGCAAATTGATCAGAAGTATTAGGATGGCTTTAACTTTTAAGTTTTTGCATATTCTTCATTACAAGAAAGGAAGTTCTCTTTGATGCCAAATTAGTAAGCTGTCTATAGCTAAAACTAATACTTTAGATCAATCACACATGTAGTTTCTTCACAGTTTTCTTGAATTTGAACTTATCAAATAAATTATTTGTACATTCGTTAGTGGAAGACTTTAGTTAAAACAATATCAGCCGTGACATTACTCATGTTACGTGTTCAGCCACCTTATTTGTTCAAATATAACATTACTCATGTTATGGTCTACATTTGTCCAAATGTAGTTATATTTGTTCAAATATAACTGCATTTTTTGTTAGGATGACAAGATGCATGTTTTCCATGGCCAGAAGGAGTGTCTGTTCTTTTTTTGGAAATGGTCTGGAAAGCTGTCCATTCTGTCAATAGCTCATTTTATGCTTATTCTTGCATCATTAACCAATCATTATGTTACTTGAAGTCTTTCAGTTAAGCCCTTGATTTTATATAGGAATAGATATTTTACAACTATATACTGGATTTCATCAGCATCTTCTGTTTCATTGAAAGGTGGACAATTTTTCTGCTCCATGTAACTTTGTTGTGTGAGCTTTTCTTTTCAGATAAATTTGTTATTTTAAATTCAGGAAAAATGAATCTTTTTATGTAAGACTGGAGTCAAATTCACAATTTCTTTTTGCAATGATGAATCAATTAGAAAGCAATTCGATTTTGCAACACTCTTCACCACCAGTTTAAAATGAATTAACTAGCATTTTAGGGCGTTTGTCTTGCAACTATCCTGTGAAATCTTTTAGTTAAGATTCTGCCTCCATATATATTCTGTTCCTTCGATCAGAATAGTTGATTGAAACTTTCTAGCCTACCTTCATTCTTATGAACCTTTTTGGTTTTGTTTCTTTTACGGAGGAGGTAAGCTATTTATGCAACACATTTGAATAGTGTAGATATTGATGTGCACATGCAACACTTGGTATCCTATGTTTCTTCAATTATACTTATCAACAAGAATTGCTGTTATTATTGTGGTTTTATCAAGCCGAGGTTTCTGGTTGGTGAACTGCTTCTATTTTTTCGTAGTGACTACTTCATTAATTTCTGTAGAGCAACAAACTCAGTTAACACCTAACATGAGTAATGTACATTTTCTTTCATTCACTTTTTTCAGTTATTATATGTACATCATCAGTTTATCAACCATACCTTGGAGGCTTGGACAGAACCATATTACTCTATTCAACTTGGGACTTGTAATTTGTTGGTTTTAATCTTCTATCCATAATATTTCTTATTCAAATGTGCATAATCAAAGAAGTTTTAATCATTCAGCTATTGAGTAGTTTACTAATAAAAGCAAGAAATTCAAAACTTAAGTAATTCTTTGACATTACTTTTCTTTGCACATGCAATTTATTTATGTATTTAAAAATAATATGAGGAAAAGTTTAAGGATTTTATTAATCAGAGCTACATCTAATTGTTCATGGATGAAAATATTTTTTTAGTCTTTTCCACGCATCATCTTCAACATTCGCATTTCAGAAACATGAATTTTTTGGCACATATTATTTTTTGATCGTCCAATATGCGAAATCGTAAAGTATGACTAGCCTAATAATTTCTTATAAGATTTATCTTTTGATGATAAGACATCGGATAATCACAAAACTCATGATGCTCTTTTTCACTCTAACCAATTTTTATCTATAAATAATATATTCATCAATCTCTATGAAAAGGTATACATAACTATTTGTTTGAAGTATCAACAAATAAATTATATAATAAAAAATAATAAAAATAATTATATAAGTGAAAAATAAAATATATCTAAAAAATAATGCTTATTTTTTAGATATAATTTATTTTTCACTATACATAATAAAATAATAATAAATTTTGCATTATACTTATTTTTTGAAAAATAAATTACATAAGTACAAGGACCTATATCTAAAAAAATGAAAAAAAGTGATGGTATACCTCATTTGTTCAATCATTGATGAAAGTTACTGATCTGTTTGAGAGAGCAATTTATAAATTAAAGCATTCATACTAAATATAATAATTTAAGGTTCACAATGAAAAGTTAAGAAAATGAGGCCGATAACGAAATTGCCAGTGTATATAAAGCAATTGAAGTTGAGAAGTTCAAGCAAGATTCACCATTGAATAGATCAGGCAATGGAAGCTACTATCATGTCAGGATTCATACATTTGAACTGAGCTTGTGTAAAAATTCAATACCAAACTATCATCAAATTCAAAATTTAAAAATGCATCTCTAACTTATCCTTGAATGGATCCAGTTATGCAAAATCCATCTTAATCATCATCAGTTCAGTTGTATTAGACCAACTGAATAACTTTTGAGATGATATTTGGCTCTGGAGTGATGTATGTAATTATCAAATCCTTTTGGTTGGCCTTCATGACTGATGTAACTCATATTAATTAGACTATGAGGAAACATTGGACAGCATAGCTTATATTTTGGTTTTACCATATAACTTTTGTTATGGTGCATGTAGTCTTGGGTATTTTTAATGAAATTGCTTTTGGTCTTTGGATTGCTTTCCTATTGTTGGGTTTCAGTTATTTTTTTATTTTCAGGAGCCTCCTTCAAGTAGATTCAATGTCATGATTTCTATTTTATGTAAATATTGTTTAGTGAGTAAATTTTGATTGTGGAAACTTTAGGTGTTTTAAATACAGTGCATTGTTGGACTCTTAAATCTTCATTGGCGGCTCCTATTCATTTATTTGATCCCACTACTTATTGTTTTGGGTCATAGTTAGAGAAGGATAGCATGTAGTTGAATCTTTTTGCATGGAGAAAGATAATGTTTGGCTGTTAAAGTTTCACTTTCTTTTTTCTTTGAATTTCTAATTTCTTTGATTCATTGCATTTCTAACTTTTGTACTGTTACTTCTGCTGAAATCAATTGGATAATATAAATTTTATCTACATTGGCACATTGTTAGCAATGTTTTCTCTCTCTCTCTCTCTCTCTCTCTCTCTCTCTCTCTCTCTTTCTTTTGCACATTGTTAGCAAATATAAGGCTCATCAAGTGTGATACTATCTGCATTTGGAACAGGTAAGATTATTCTTAGCAGAGGATGCCCCTGCTGTATCTGGGTTGGGGACCCAAGACAATCTCCAGGCAAAGGGTTCATGGTTATTGCATGCAACAAGCATAGGCAATGATGATTCTTCTTTACCTCCAGGCTTTGAAGCACCTCATCCTGCATATCAGTTCAGATTGGAAATCTCCCAAATTCCTTTAGTCAAGTGGAAATGCCCTCTTAATGTAAGGAATAACTTATCCAGTTTGTCTTTATCGTAAAAATCTCAGAATGTTAGACTGTAACACGTCCATTGCTTATCTTTTTCCAATTTCAGATTTTATTGGATCCAGAGTGGGTAGTGGTTGCTGGAGAAGAAAGTTCAGAAGTGGCTGTACAGGATCAAAGACAACTGAGAATTCTTGAAGCAATCTATCCACGGGTGCCTTCCATTCCTCCAAAGTGAGTGGCTTTTCTTGTCAGTGTAATTTGATATTATTTAACAGCCTTGTCATTTTGCTCACTCCAAGCCTGAATCTAAAAATCCAGTCCTTCGGTTTCATCGGAGGTGCAAGATTCGTTTTACGATGACACTCGAACTCCTGTGATTCCTATAACTGCTATTGAAGATGAAGAATCGTCAGAGCAATTAGAAACAGCGGCACCTACATTTTCATCCACCCAAAGCCAACAGACAAGTGCTCAGAATCTGCAGAGCATGCAAGGAAAACATGATATTCTAAATCTTGAGTTAGTTACAGAACAATTCCAAGGTCATGTTACCCAGCCTGCTCCGACTGTGCCTCGTTCTGAGACAACTTCAGGTAGGATTCCACCGATTGCCGAACCGGATGTCATTGCTGCTGCTTCTGCAGCTTTTACAGCCATCATGAAAACCAACGAGGAAGGAAGTATGATAGATCGTGACCTTCTTATTAACATCCTCAGTAACCCCAGCTTGGTGGAGAAGTTGGTTACGGAATATGGAGCTCCTAAGCAATCTCAGGCCCTCTTGGCTCCTGTATCAGTCGCACCACCATGTTCCTCTGTACCAGTTCAGCACCTGGCTCTTGCTCCACCAGTCCCACCTCCACTTCCCCAAATCAATCCCAGTACTCCTTCCTTGTCAGTTTTCCGAACCTCACAAATGTATCCTTTACCCAGTTCAGTGCCACCCCAATCCGTGAATCCTCATGCTTTACCGCCCGTTCAAATCCCCGTCAAACGTCAATCAAGTGGGCAAGCAGCGTCAAGAGATGCCAATTATCTGAAGAGTCTAATCCAGCAGCATGGTGGTGAGAAGCAAGATGGATCTGATCTGAATTCTGTACATGCTGCTAGTTGCCAGAACAATGTGGTCGCCACCAATGCCGTCGATCTCTATGCCCCTAGACTGCAAAGAGAAGCCAGGCCTAAGATCCCAAGGCCTTGTGCCTACTTCAACACCCCTAAAGGGTGTCGACACGGAGCAAGCTGCTCTTATCAGCACGACCCTTCTTTACCGCAGCGGATTGAGCCGCCCAAAGGATCAAAGAGAATTAAATTAGACAGAGGAATTGCCGGCAGGAACTAAGGTTCGAAGGTCTTTGTTTTATATTTGTTTGAGTCGTGTTATTTATGTTCATTCATATCGCATGCACATAGCTAACCCTCACTGCTTGTCAGCATCTGATGCTTTTGTTTCCAAGAACTACATTCCGATGTAAAGATGAAGTTGTCAAGAATCATGAATCTATGTTACAGATGGTAGTCTATCCATGCGTGGGGGAGGCATCCTTGTTTAGGTGGAACGAAATTCTTCAACTCGAGATTGATGAGTCCCATTGGCAGCAAAACAACTGTGCCTCCTCGAATTAGTTGCACATCATCCAAGTGGTGTAGGTGAGGCGCTTTCAGGTGCCAGTCGATGCAGCAGCTGCGAGCCTAAGTCTGTATTGTCTGTAGCTATCAGCAAGCGTGATTTGTGCTCATACTGTTGAAGAAGGGGATGGGGCATATTTCGGACACGTTGAAAACTGCATGGGTTGTCGCAGGTATTGTCATCAGAAATCCCTTCTCTTTTTTTCTCTTTGGCTTCCTCTGTCGAAATTGAAGAGCTGAAGAGGATTCTCTGTTCTTGTTTTCCATCTCAACTATGGAATTATTGGTGGTAATTTTACGTTAAACGTTAGCAGTCGTATTCGTTCACGTTCTGTGCAATTCTTGTTATTTTAGACGGTCATGGTTTGATTATAGTATTTAATACGCTCAATTATCAACAAGTTGCTGCTGAAGCTGCTATATTTTGTATTGGTCTGTTTATTCTTGCCTTTATTTTCTATGCATCAAAAGCTTTTGGATCACACTTGTTAATTACAATGCCATACAATTAATTGAGGAAAGAAATTGGCACGTGATCACCATAAACGAGAAAAAAGGAGCGAGAACTGGATGTTTTTGCAGTGTGTTGATGATGTTCTTTAAAGTTCTTCGTCCTTACGTCGCGTATGCTTAGCGCCTCATACGCAGTGTGGAGTCTGCTCACCTCCGGTTGTGATAAGAAACCGGACTTTGGACGGTTGGGCAATGATTTGAATTTTTTTGGGGGCTTTTTGTACACTGGCATCACGCGGTAAGGATACCGAAGGCTCTGGTTACCTCCAATCCCCCTCCGCCCACCCTCGGGGGCGCGGGTCGGCCAGTTTGGAATCTGGTCACCGCAGGTAAGGATAAGAGTTCTCCAACTGGAGGATTTCAGACTGATTTAATTTTCTTTCCGGCACTTTAACCTCCGAGTGTCAAGCGGTAAGTTGACCGCAATTGTATCATACCATCATCCTTCGCCGTCCCCTCTGCCTTCCCGCTTCGTTTTTTCGCTAAAGCCCACCGAATGTGTACGTCGTCGTCGTCATAATATGTATATATATATACATGTATGTATATATATATACATGTATGTATATATATATATACATGTATGTATATATATATATACATGTATGTATATATATATATAGACATCTTTTTTCCTTTCAAAGAGTTGTGAGCTCCATAGTCACAAGATGAAACAAGATTAGCTTAGCATTTATACATGCAATCTACTAATTAATGACTTCAACGGTACCAAGACCCAAACTTATTGTATCAAATGTGTCATATACCATACCATTGTAGGCCAGTCCCCATACCTTTTATCCAAAATTTGAAGAGCATGCACAATAGAGTTGAACGAAGCAGCTAAACATGTAGCTATTGCCAGTCATATGTATATGATAGACATGTAATATAAAAGACACGACCAGAAACAAACTACGATACTTGTCAAATACCTGCAAACAAATACATAAAAAGCCTTCAATTTCATGCTAATATATAACCTGATGCGTAGGAGCTTCCAATCCAACATGAGCTCCTCTTCCCAACCCAACATGCATACAACAATGTTACATCATATAGTAACTGAATTGACAAACCCTCGTATAGGCATAAGCATTACCACAACCAAGTTCGAAAGCAGATCACATGTTCCTCTTGATGCTTGATCATCTTTGCCATCTTCTCTCTGAAAACAATAGCACTGAAACGTGTCAGCTAGTGATACTAGTCAAATGGTTTAGGAGAACAAAATAATTTAGTTCTTTGGAATAATTGTGAAAGGTGAAGTAAAATTCAGCAGAGAAATATTATTCTACAGGACATAAATGTTTGTAGATACAATAGTGGCACACAGCACTCATACCAAGTAAAAGAATGTTTGCATTCTAATTAGAGATAAGCACTCCTAATAGGCGGTTTTCTTGTTGTCCACCAAACAAAACAGAAATTGTTTGAAGTTGCAAGAAAATCACATGCATTAACGGCATAGACGAGAATGTAATTGGATATGCAGCTCCCAAGTGTTCATAGAATCAGTAGCTTACCAGCAGAATCATGAGGAGAATGAGCTTCAATGCCTTTCACACTCTGATGAGCTCGTGATGTTGATCTTTGCATGCGCGGGGATGAGCTCTGTTTTCCATTCTCAATAGGCAAGGAATGCCTCTTCTTAGGCTGGTTATCATGCAGATCAGGGCTGGACTTCTGAGATGTATTACCATGGGCTTTAGCTCTCGCAGATGCAGTGGCTTGCATGTAACCTGGAAGAGAACTGCTACTACTGTGCCTGGGCTCCTGCTCAACACTTTCAGTCTTTGTTATCCCAAATGAGTTACGCCTCCTTGGAAATCTTGAATCCTTCGTTAAATTGTCTGTGGTACTTCCACCTGAATCGTTATTTGGATTAGATGGAGATTTTTTACCAACCAATTGAGAGCCTTTCCTACGGGTAGGCATGCAAGGATCCATCCTACCCTTTTTGGTATTCACAGAGACATCACTGGATGGGGTTCCGTGTAGATCAGGCACTGTCGCATGGCTTCTGGGAGTTCCTTCAGGCGATCTAGTTTGTTCTACCGTACCTTCCAGATCATACTGCACATCTGAAGTGGTTGGCTCAGCTAGATGTTGATCAACTTGCACCAAGTCAACAGAAGCATTCGAGTTGGCCATAGTTAGGTCACCTCCACAAGGTCTCGCATTACCACCCGAGTTGGAAAGATCAGAAGCATTCTCAGCAACAGCAACAATTGCATGATTCTCTTTCTCCAGGGCTCCAATTTCAAGAACAATTGCTCCACCTTCCATATCAGATCTGTCCGGCGAGTCAAGTGTGGAAGAGATAGATATTTCAGTGCCACATTCTGAAACTGCAGCTTCAACCCTCACATCAGGGAATATTTTCTCTGCTGAAATTGCTTCTTTTCCATTTGCAAGAGAATTTACCTCAATATTATGGCTCTCTGTTTTTGTGTTTGATGCAGCAGTTGTATAAGCAGAATTAACAGATTGAACTACAGTTGATGTCAAACTCAGCTCTTCAAATTTTGATTGAGCTGCAACAAATGCTGGATTGCATGACTTTCTTGAACCAACTACAGACTTCTTCTCTTCGTTTTCCAATGTTTCAGAGGATGCCCCTTCAGTATTATTATTGGAGCCATCTTTCCCAGGTTCAAGCTTGTCAGCATCAACTAACACATTATTCAAACATAGATTTGGTTGTAAGTGTTTATCATCCAAGCTTTCCTTATTAATCATATCCATGTCTGTACAATCTCGCATAGTAGTGTTCAGAAGCCCATTTCTGACTTCTGGCTTTTCCATATCATTTTTAGGCAAAGAATTGGAGAAATTATTTGGAGCAACTAGTGAAGTTGGAAACTCAAAATTACCAACATTTTCAATTGTTGAGCTATTTTTACCATCATCTGCCATGACTGATTTGGTTGCAGCACATTCTAGATCAGATAATTCTGAGGAAACTGAAATTGAAATCTCTTTTGCTGGTTCACTATATGTCATGTTAACAATCTCTTCTAGTCTGCAATTCCCATGGTTGAAATCTTGCCCATGTTGTTGCCCAACCCCTGATGAAGTCACAACCATCCATCTTTCCAACCACTTCCATGCCGAATCAGACTTTGATGGATCACATTTTATATATATGATTTTTGTCCTTGGTGTAGTTTCCAGAAGCTTAAAAGGGTTAAAGATGCAAGTTCACATTATAGCAAACCAGAGAGACAAATCCTATATATCGAGAAATGAAAATAACTAGACATACCTGACGGGCAAACCCATTTGAAAGCAATTTCTTGATTGATGTTTTAGTTGATTTCTCGAAAGTAACACCCTTTTCCTGAGCAAGATTGTAAGAACAAAAGGAAATTAAAAAATAACAAAAAAAATCTCACAATTAAAGCATTTAATATCATGTTGCTACATACAAACGACAAGTTCCATCCACGTTAATTAGTAGGGCACAAAGAATTGATCATGTGATGCACATGCTTGGTGAAAGAAACCAAATTCAAACACAAGCATTTAGCTACCACTAAATTCCTCAACATTGAATGAGACTAGCATCCTCAATATCAACATAGCTGTAGACAACATTTCTTGTTATGCATTAATACAAGGGACATCATATGTGTGTGTGTGTGTGTGCGCGCGCATGTACATATATGTACATGTACATATATATATATATATATATATATATATATA